CCATGGGTCCCCCAACATAACAAATACTTACTCCTGCTTTTTGTCTCTGAATGTCATAAAATCAGTGATATTATCTGTGAAAATACAAATTGAACATCTTTTGGCGAATCCGTAGCTTTATGTTGCCATGGTTTTCAATTTATCATTTTTACAAACATATAAATTTTCTGTTATAGGTATTAGTTTTGGTGTGCCACCCCTGGTTTTTCAGTACCCCCACCCCAGTACCATTTTCTGTGGGTGGCCCCACAGAAAATAAAAAATTCTGCAGGCACCACTGCAGTCCGTGTCAGTAGGGTCCATCTTCTTCTGATTGTAAATGCAGGAGAGAAATCTGGAGGAGGAGGGAGGGTGAGCGAGGTTTCTCTGTGTGAGCAGTCGGAGCTCGTTTGTCAGAGCGCTATCGTTTTCTGACAGCTTCACTTCCTGCTTCAGTGCACAGCGGCCGGCCGAGTGGCGAGGCAGGGAGACAGAGAGAGAAATATTATCAAGGTTTCATCTCGTCAAACCTCCACTGTCCTGCCGTTCAGCGGAGAGGAACAACTTCATCTCTAAAAGCCAGCTCGTAGCTCGGCATGCAGAAGTCCTGCCGGCTCAGGACGAGTGTTTCACCTTCACTGGAATTCATTTGGACCTGGTTTCACCTTTATTACCCTTGTTATAACTCTTTTAGGGATGAAGATGTTCTCATCCTTGATAGAGAGGAACATTGGTTTGAGAGAGGAGTTAAAAAGACATTTTTGTGAAGAAAAACCATCCATCATTAAACGGGGTGATAGTGGTGGTGTCTCCGTGTCCTCTTGTCCCCCTCTTAAGTATCACTCAGCACTTTGTGAACAATAGGGATAATCAGGGCACTAACAATCGATTGTTAGGCTGATGGTCCTCTTTAGCATGTGAACAATGAGTTCACTGTCTACTATGTGGAAGTACTGCTTATCAGCAGGGACGGAGTCAGAGGGGTGGCCAGGATGGAAAATGCCACCCCTGGCTCCTGAATGGCCACCTCTAAAAACCTGACAAGTTGGTGGGGGACATGGAATTTGTTTTTACATTTAGATTTTCTTAAATATTTTTCTTTGATGCTACTGTACTATTTAAAATTTCAGCTGTGTATGTTTAAAAATGGCTGAATTATAACCCTTTGTAAAATTAGAATTAGCATTAATGGTTAGCTTAGCAGTTTTTTCCATGTTTCCATGAATATACTGAGATCACTGCAGTTATTAGCATAGTAG